TTTTTTTTTGCAATTTTTGGCCGGGGCTGGATTTGAACATGCCACCTCCGGCATATGGGGCTGGCACCCTACTCCTTTGAGCCATAGGCACCGCCCAGGCTGATGCTTTTTTTTTCTTCTTCTTCTTTTTCTTTGCAGTTTTTGGCCAGGGTAGGGTTTGAACCCACCATCTCCAATATATGGGGCCGGCACCCTACTCCTTTGAGCCACAGGCGCCACCCCCGGATAATTTTTTTTTTTTGTAGTTGTCATTGTTTGGCAGGCCTGGGCCCAGTTTGAACCCACCAGCTCTGGTGCATGTGGCTGGTGCCCTAGCCACTGAGCTACAGGCACTGAGCTGCTTAAAAGCTTTTAATTAAAAAAAAAAATGCTGCTACCATGAACATCTGGCATGTATATCTTTGTGTACTTACTAAACACTGCTATTGGATAAATATACTGAAAAGGATTTGCTGGGTAAAAGAATATGGACATTTTGGCTCAAAGGAGTAGGATGCTGGCCCCATATGCCAGAGGTGGCTGGTTAAAACCTGGCCAAAAACTGCAAAGAAAAAAAAAAAAAAAGAATATAGACATTTTTTTCTTTGCCCAGAGAAGACAGGAAGAAATAAAATTTGCATGTAACAGTAGCTATCTCTGAGAGGTGGAGCTATGAGAGATGCCTGTATTCTTCTTTATACATTTTCAGTATTTTCCACACTTTCCACATTAAATACACGGAACAGTCCTTGTCACCACCTTTTTGAGTGCCCACCATGGTCTAAGTATGTGAACTAGGAGTTAGGCAGCTGTGACACAATTCCAGTTTGGCCACTTCCCAGCATGAATCTTGCCTAGGTCCCATAATCTCCGTCAGCCTCATTCTCCTCATTGTACAATTACCCTGTTAGCTGTTCTTCATGAATTATGGGAGTGTTGCAGTGGTGAGAATGGAGGGAGTCCCTGCTTGCCCTTAGAATCCTGGTGGCAGGCAGAACACAGAGGCTGTGGGCTGTGTGGGTTGGTAGGCCAGGAAGGCTGCCTGGAATAGATTGCCAGATTTGCAAATAAAATACAGGATGTCCAGTAAAAGTAGAATTTTTATATATTTTTTAAAATTAGAATTTCAAATAAATAATTTTTTGTTGTGTCCCATGCAATACTTGGGTCAAAGGGAAGTAAGGAGAAGTTCCTGGGTTAGAGACCTCTAGAGGACTATGCTGATATGTTGGGTTCATGACTAGGGTGGCCTTGGTGGGCCAGTGGGTTCACTGAAGGGTAAGAAAGAGCTGCCTCGAATCAAGGCTTGACTTGATTCTTTAAAGTACTTTAATGCCTGGCTTAGTTTGCTCCTTATCCCAAAGCCATGGGGCATGATTGAAGGATTTTGAACAAGGAAAAGAATCTAATAAAGTGATGGGGATTTTTTTGGGTTTTTTTTTTTTTTTTGGCTAGGGCTGGGTTTGAATCCACCACCTCTGGCATATGGGGCCAGTGCCCTACTCCTTTGAGCCACAGGCACTGCCCCTAAAGTGATGCTTTAAAAATAAATGCCATTCTTGCTTCTGTCTCTTCGTTCTTAGGAAAAAAAAATAGACATTACTCGGGGATTGAAAGTTGCTGGGGTAAGTGGCTGCCAGGTGACTGGCAGGTAAGTAACATGTAGGTGGCACCTAGAGTCTCCTTGCTTTCTCTTTGCTGCTTCTCCACTGCAGGTTCACTGCAGCAGCACTGAGTTCACACCTCGGAAGAAAGGTGGAGAGAAGGGCATCCCTCTTCGCCTCCAGATGAACACTTTTAGCCCAGTGACAAGGGAATTCCGCCTGAGCACCTGCACTTGGCTGGCTGCCTCATTAAGGTGTTCAAGGTACAGGCAATACTGGGGTCCCTTTTTCCTCCCCTGCAGGGCTGTCACTGTGGCTCTCTGGCTGTATGGGTTCTGGCCCTGCTTTGCTTTGCTCAGTCTGCTGTGCCCTATCTCTGTTTCTTTCTCTTTACATAGGGTGAGGGGGCTTAATCTCTTTCTCAGAGCCCACCCAATAGAGTCTGGGCTCTGAGAAAGAGAGGTACAGAAGGGGCCTTTGAGGCTTTGTTGTCATCCCCCTCGAAGCCCAAAGGAGCTGACCGGAAACTGAAAATTGACCGTGAGAAGATGGAGAAACAGCCCCTGCACGAGACGGACGAGTATCATTGTGCCTGTGAGATCACTGTTTTTGAAGGTGTGTGTTGGGACAGCAAGAGCAAGAGGGGAGATTTAGACAAAAGATCCCCATTGTAAAGATGGGGAAATTAAGGCCAAAAGGACTATGACTGCACTGGGCTATCACAGCCCCCAGGTGATTTCTGCTTCAGACACCCTCTGCCCTTGCTGTAGTCTGAAGCTCCTGGGAACTAAGACCTTTCAGACTCCTCTCTTGTGTCCTGCTATCACCACCATTTCCCTGTGAGTGATGCTCCCTCTGCCTGGCTGGATGGCTCTTCCAGGGGCCTTTCCCAATTTCTCCAGACCTGCTGGCTAGTCCCTTGTGTTGAAACTCAGTCTACTGGTCAGAGCCAAGCCAGGTGCCTTGTCAATTCTGAATAGACAGATGGAAGGAGGTGAGCAAAAAGCCACCAGTGCCCTTGGGACATCAGTTATTTGTTTGCCCACAGTATTCACCATGGCCAGAGCCTCACCGGTTCTGACCTCCCCTAACTCCTGCAAACTCCTGTCCGCAGAGAGGCGAGTTGGGATGGGCACCTTCTATCAGCCCATGGGGGAAGTGGCAGGGTTGAGCCTCTGGATGAGCATGTGGGCACAGGCTTGGGGGAAGGGCTGTCGAGGGGCAGAGACTGGATGCCCTGCTCCTCCTCATAGGCTTTGTTCCTCGTCACCATTCTCTAAGCCCAGCTGAGGTGAGTCCCTTCCAACTCCCCAACCATTGTTCAAAGGCTTCTCAGAGGCTTCATCTCACTGATGCAGGATTATCCAGGGCAGGGTGGCCCTGCCCCCTCGTGGCCAGATATGGCATGGCCTCAGATCACAATTTACCAGATAGGAGCCTTCCCCTCTGAGCCTTGGCACTTCCCAAGGGGGCACTGTTTGCATTTTCCCTTGCTCTCAGGTCATGGGTCCAGGTAACCTGTACCCCCCTCTTTCTCCTTCAGGATCTGAACCCTGGAGCTACCATCTCAGAGATGCAGCAGTGGTTGCATCAGTACCAGTTCTCTAGCTATTGCTGGGTGCTGGCCAATTTCACTGTGGTGAGGCTGTCATATGGCAGGGAGGAGACCAGTAGCAGACTGAGGGTGGTACGCTCAGGCAGGAAACCTGTCTCTGTCTTGGCTTGCTCTGTGTTCTTTAACATTTCTTTCTTTCCTTTTTTTTTTTGCAGTTTGGCCGGGGCTGGGTTTGAACCCGTCACTCTAAGTATATGGGGCCAGCACCCTTCTCACTGAGCCACAGGTGCCCCCCCCTCCGTTTCTTTCTTTTCTTTCTTTCTTTCTTTTTTTGAGACAGAGTCTCAAGCTGTTGCCCTGGGTAGAGTGCTGTAGCATCACAGCTCACTGCAACCTCCAACTCTTGGGCTTAAGCAATTCTCTTGCCTCAGCCTCCCAAGTAGCTGGGACTACAGGCACCCACCACAATGCCCGGCTATTTTTTTTTTTTTTTTTTGGTTGTAGTTATCATTGTTGCTCGGCAGACCCAGGCCAGGTTCAAACCTGCCACTTTAGGTGTATGTGGCCAGCACCCTTGCCCACTGAGTTATGGGTGCTGCCCTCTTTTTTCTTTTTTTTTTTTTGAGACAGAGTCTCAGTCACCTTCAGCGGAGTGCCATGGCATCATAGCTCATAGCAACCTCACACTCTTGAGCTTGAGATCACCTTTTTCTCAGTTTTTCATTTTTAGTAAGACAGGGTCTCACTCTTTTTTTGTTTGTTTGTTTTTTCTCCAGTGACCTCTTCAGTGAACTCTTTATTGGTATAAGGACATGCTGCTTTACTGCCTCAATGTCTCAGAACTTTGGTGTCATTGGTCTCAGACACCACGTTGCCGTCTACTATCCTGCGGGTGGTGGTCTTTTGGATGGTTTGCATGGAATTGCTGCTGTCCAGGGCATCACCAAGGTTGAAGTCCTCCCCATCTTCCAGCAGACGGTGGTAGGTGGCAATCTCAGCCTCTAGCTTGACCTTGATGTTCAGCAGTGCCTCATACTCCTGGGCCTGGCGCTGCCCCTCTCCCCAGGTCTGTGCCAGCTCTGACTCCAAATGCAGCAGGACCTCATTGAGTTGCATGGTGTAGTGGGCCTCCACCTCCCTCAGGCTATCCTCCATGGAGCCTGGACTTCTGATTTCTCATAGAGTCCAGTTCAATCTCCAAGGACTGGACTGTACGCATCAGCTCTGTGAGCATTGTCTTAGGAGCTCCAACTTCAGCAAACTGTGAGGTGACCACTGAGGTGCTCTCCTCAATCTGCTGAGATCAGGTCTTGACCAGCTCTTTTTGCCAGCTCATCATATTGGGCCAGCTCTTCTTCTGAGCCAGCTCATCATACTGGGCCTGCATGTCTGCCATGATCTTGCTCAGGTCCTGGGATTTGGGAGCATCTACCTCCACAGTCAACCCAGAGCTGGCAATCTGGGCTTGTAGGACTTTTTCTTCCTCCTCGTGGTTCTTCTTCATGAAGAGGAGCTCCTCCTTGAGAGCCTCGATCTCTGACTCCAACTGCAGTCGAGTGATATTGGTGTCATCAATGACCTTTCGGTGCCCATGGATGTCACTCTCCACAGATTGGCACATGGCCAGTTCTGTCTCATACTTGACTCTAAAGTCATCAGCAGCAAGACGGGCGTTGCCAATCTGCAGAACGACGCGAGCATTGTCCACAGAATTTGCGAAGATCTAAGCCCTCAGGTCCTCGATGGTCTTGAAGTAATGCACCCAGTCTCTGACCTGGGGCCTCTTCTTCTCCAGGGGTTCAAGGATTTTGCTCTCCAGCCTCCGATTATTGGTCTCCAGGTTCCTCTGTCCAGGTAGGAGGCCAGGCAGTCATTCAGTTCTTGCATGGTCTCCTTCTTGGTCTGGATGCCCCCTATTCCCGCCAGCCCCCCGGCCATCCCCGTGGCCAGGCCCCCAGCCGCCCCGGAAGCTCGTGGAGTGGGACATGGAGATCCAGGAGCCGGAGCCCCCGGCACCTGCATAGACGCTGGCTGCGCTACTGGTGGGCCGGACACTGTAGCTGGGTGCCTGGACTGAGCCCAGGGACCGGTAATTGCTGGAAAAGGTGGTAGACGAGTAGTACAGGACATGATGTAAGAAGAGGAGAGGACAAAACTCAGGCGAGCTGGGCTTTTGTTTTTTAAGACAGTCTCACTTTGTCACTCTTGGTAGAGTACCGTGTCACAGGTCACAGCAACCTCCAACTCTTGGGCTCAAGTGATTCTCTTGCCTCAGCCTGCCAAGTAGCTGGGACTATAAATGCCCACTACAATGCCTGGTTATTTTTATTTTTATTTTTTGGTATGAAAGGTCTTTATTGGCAAAGGAGGGATGTTGCAGAGCAGCACCAAGGAGGAGGGAGGAGAGAAGAGAAGAGGGATCCTGCCTGGCTATTTTTAGAGACAAGGTCTTACTCTTGCTCAGGTTGGTCTCCAACTCCTGAACTCAGGCAATCCACCCACCTCAACCTCCCAGAGTGCTAGGATTATAGTCATGAGCCACTGTGCCGAGCCTGGGGTCTCTCTCTCACTCAGGCTGGTCTCAAACTCCTGAGTTCAAGCAATCTACCCACTTTGGCCTCCCCGAGTGCTAGGATTACAGGTATGAGCTATCGCGCCTGGCTAACATTTTTCTTTCATTTTTTTTTTGAGACAGAATCTCATTTTGTCACCCTGGATACTGTGCTGTGGCATCATAGTTCACAGCAACCTCACACTCTTAGGCTCAAGTGATTCTCTTGTCTCAGTTTTTCATTTTTATTTATTTTATTTTTTTGCAGTTTTTGGCCGGGGCTAGGTTTGAACCCGCGACCTCTGGCATATGGGGCCGGCGCCCTACTCCTTTGAGCCACAGGCGCCACCCCAGTTTTTCATTTTTAGTAGAGACAGGGTCTTGCTCTGGCTGGTCCGGAATTCCTGAGCTCAAGCAAACCACCTGCCTTAGCCTCCCAGAGTGCTAGAATTACAGGCATGAGCCATTGTCCCTGGCCTTGGCTAACTAACATTTCTTAAGGATTAAGAGTTGCCTGGTACTATGATAGGCTCTCCTCTTATAATTTATATACTACCCTTTGAGGACAGGGCCCAAAGAGATTGAATAACTTGCTCAAGGACACATAGCTACCAAGTGGCAGAACTGGGATTTGAAATCAAGTCTGATTCCCATGTTTTGGCATATTAGGGCTATCTGTAGACTAATAGTCTGTGTCCCTTGCCTCTCACCCCTCTGCCTCTTCCCTCAATCTGGATCTGACTCCGCAGGCACTGATCCGCTGAAGCTTACCCATGAGGACCTTATCCAGATCTGTGGGGCTGCAGACGCAATCCGCCTTTTCAATACTCTCAGAGCCAAGTGCTGGGCACTGACAACTAGGTCCCTTCCTCACTGTAGTGGCCCTTACCTAGGGTGACCAGACGTCCCGATTTTGGCGGGACAGTCCCACTTTTCAACAATTTGTCCCGCGTCCTGTGGCGTTTTAAAAAACTCCCAATTTTTGGAAAGAATGCACGAACCGGCTGGAGAACAAGAAGGTAATATACAGTTTTCGGCCGCCATATGGCTATTTCGCCAGAATATGAGTTCTATATTATTTTTGTTAAGTTTATAATGTTAAACTGTAATAAATAATTGCTGAGAAGTGATTATCGAGAACTGCTTATCAAAGTTTGCGTTGTTGTCAGGCCCTGCCCTGTGCTCCGCCCCCACTATGTTGTCCGGCCTTACAGATGTTAGAATCTGGTCACCCACCCTTACCAACTCAGCTAGGAAGTGTATTTCACAGAATGTTCAAGCCAGCAGGTACTTTAAAGACCACTTAATCCTATTCTTTATTATTATTTTTTTTTGAGACAGAGTCTCAAGCTGTTGCCCTCAGTAGAGTGCTGTACTGTCACAGCTCACAGCAATCTCAAACTCTTAGGCTTAAGTGATTCTCTTGCCTCAGCCTCCCAAGTGGCTGGGACTATAGTGCCCACCACAACACCCAATTATTTTTTTGGTTGCAGTTGTCGTTGTTTAGCAGGCCTGGGCTGGGTTTGAACCCACCAGCCTAAGTGCATGTGGCTAGTGCCCTACTCACTAAGCTATGGGTGCCGAGCCAGTCTTATTCTCTTTTATAGAAGAAGAAACTCAGGCCCAAGGACAGTGACCAGCCCAAGGTCACAGAGCAAGGCCTGAAGGGCTGATCTGAAAAGTTTAGACTCCTTTGACCTCCTCTTTCCTGTGGCTGCCCCACCTACCTTCATCTCTCAATTTCTGGGCTTTTCTCATTCCTCCCCCCAATACCCCCCCAACATCCCTAATAATTATTTAGTGATCTCTCTTCTTCCTAGAGACCTAGGAGGAAGTCAGGGTCTTTCCTAAGGAGGGGGGCTAGCAATAGAAGCTTAGTTAGTTCAGGCATGAAGAGCTGATACATAAGACTGTTTTCTTGGCTTAGGCCTGTCACTGGCTGACTTTGCATGTGGCTCAGGAGGCCTCTAAGCAAGAGAATGAAGTTCCTAAGAACCCCAACTCAGGTGAGGTGCTGGCTTCTCTCCAGGAATTCAGTGTGTGGTTGCATGAAACCTCTTATGGTCTGGGCTCTACCATTACTTGGCCCCAGAATTCCCTCCTTGGGATTCCCCTTCCTTTCATGACATTCGTTCTCTCTTTCCAGAATTTCTTCTGTTTTTTTGAGACAGAGCCTCAAGCTGTCCCCCTGGGTAGAGTGCCATGGCATCACAGCTCACAGCAACCTCCAACTCCTGGGCTCAAGCGAGTC